CCTTTGTCTAATTGTATGTCTCTCAGATCTCTTTTCAGGGCTCTGGCAAACAAGTGGTGACCGTCTCAGAAACCCTGTGGGAGTGTTGTCCAAGCGTACTATTGAGATCTTTAGGTTTTTGGGTCAGGCCATTCAAAGGCAAACAGGTATTGGGAATCTGGGCAGACAGGAGTGCAAAAAAAAGTATATTTTATTTAGATCTAGAAGAGTAAACCATTGTGTATCTCCCCGTAGATGAGTAAGGATGGTATAGGGGTTGGCTACAATGGGATGAAGGGGAACTACAGACTCATTACTAGTTTCAGGTCCTGGACTAGCCTGTATACCCCAGAGGTGTTTATTACTGGAAGAATAAGGGTGCTGCAAGGTGACTGGCAAGGTACCAAGAGTCCATGCTCTAGGAATTTGTTAATAATAGGCCTCAGGCTCTCCAGCGCTTCCTTCCGAATTGGGTACTGTCTCTTGTGAGGGTAGGCAACTCTCAGCTTTAATTATATAACCACTGGTTGAGCAATTGTTGCCCTCACAGGAACTCCCTGGTCCCAGACTGTGAGTACAACTGTCTCAAGGACCTGAGCAGAAATTTTATTATCTAGAAGGGCCATGTTTCAGTTGACACTAGAGGGATGTCCCAGGATCTCAAAGTGACTCCTAAGTCTTTTAAAAGATCTCTACCTAATAAGGGAATGAGGCACTGAAGAATTATTTAAAGGAGTGAAGAAATAGTCTGTCCTCAAATTGGCACATAAAAGGGTGTATATAGAAACAAGTTTGAGGGTTGCCATTACTCCTGTAATAAGTACACTTTTAGAGGTTAGAGGTCCAGGTAAGTGGCCCCAGTATCAATAAAAAAGTTAATTTGCTTACTTGTCACGTCGAGGGTTACCCGAGGTTCCTCGGTGGTGGTGAGAATGTTGGTACGGATCAGTGCCATGTGGGTCCTCGGGCCTCATCAATTTTCCATTACTGCCATAGTAGGAGCTTGCGTCTCCTGTCCTCTTTGGGACAGTGACTGGAATCTCTGCATAGTGGGCAAGATCCCGGGCCAGCTTTTGGCACTCGTCTGCCCAGTGGCCAGGATGCTTGCGTTTAAAGCAGGCCTTATAATTCTTACCAGTAACGGCTTGCTGTTCCTTTGATTTTCCCGGGTGACTTTGAGATGGCATGGTGTTCCTAGTGGTGCTGCTAACGGCTAGCACAGTCAGTTCAGCCTGTACTTTTCCCTGCCTCCTCTCCTGCTGA